CCTTTGGATTGTTCATGCCAACCAGCACTACCTGTTTTATGAAATGATCAGATCTTTTGGGATATACATACCCATCATCCTGGCAGGTAATTTTGCTGGTTTCCCAGTTCATCCTTGGTTTGAACTCCTTGAGAAATGGCATCCCTGAGAAGGACATGTTCTTTTCCAATGAGGGGGCCTACATAACACTTGACTCAAACAGTGCACTCCTTGATCTCCATCTTCAGGGTCACTTTGTGAGTTACCCATTCTTCATCCTTCCCAGTGAACAAGGTCGTTTTGAACCTCTTTTCGACCTGGTAAATCAGGATCTGAAGCTTCTGGACCATCTTCTCTGAGATGAGGGAGACTTCTGTGCCTGAGTCAATACAGGCCCATATTCCCGCCTTGTAGTCCAGTAAAATGACCAACCCAAGAGGAGAACAAATTCGCATATTTGATTCATCATCTATAGAAGTACATTTAGCAGATAACACAGAGACAGGACTGACCAATGCAGGAGATGCAGGAGATTCATCAGTCCCCTTTAAAAACCCAACCCCAACACCTTTCATTCCTCTGTGTTAGCCTCATGATCTCCAGCATAAGTGGTCTTTGTGCCATCCTTGGCTACTACCATGTGGACATTGGACAATTGAGTCTTGACCTTGATTTTACAGTCACACTTGATGTGACCTTTGGCCCCACAATTGAAGCATTTAATTTCCGAACCAGAATGTCTAACTTTCCATTTATGTTTGTTGATGTCCATTGCATCAGGATCTTGGGAACCTCTGCAGTAATGAATGAATTTGCATTCATACTGAGATTCCTTCCCTTCTAGGATATGCTTCATAGTGATAGCAGTTTGAGCTTCTCCTGTGCACTGTATCCACTCTATGACTGTGGAAGGGGTGCATCCAGAATTGAGAACCCAGTTGCAATATTCTTTGTTTAAGCCTTTCCCAAAGAAGATCCCTGCTTCATGCGATTCTTCTTTGAGTTGAGCCTTGTTAACAAGTCCTGTAAACTCAGCAATGTAGGCTTCAAGTTCTCATTTGCCTTGTTGGATGTCCAAGAGACATAAGATGGTGAGGGTGGTTTGATCCCCCAACTTGAAGGTAGCCTTCAGCCTTTCAATGAACCTTTGAAAGGTGTCAGTGTAGTAGATTGTCCCATCGAGTATCTTGTTTTCATTTTGATAGTTCTCAGTGAACAACACAGCTGTGCCATTGGTCATGTACGTGAGCACAAACGAAATTTTGAGGGACTCCATGTTGTAAACATGCTTGTTCAGGTTCAAATAACCTTCAACCTGCATAATCTAGGTCTGAAGCCCATTGTGGCTTCTGTCATATTCTCTGGGATGCCTGACATTAAATTCCCAGCCTCCATTGGGTGGGCAGCTTGTGTAGTTATTGTCCTCATTGGCTTTGGCTTTCCCCTTACTGCCATCACCAGTGGATGGCTCTGGGGGTACAGCCTTTCTGAAGTTCCTACCATACCATTCTCACAAGGCTGAGTCAGTAGGCATACCTGTTGGGAATGGGTCACTTGTAGTTGCATGCATAGCCTGGCAGAGCTCCTCTGCCATTGTGACTCTTTGTTCTTCCAACCACTGTCTCAGTTCCTCTTCCAAAATGGTCCTTGGGGGCATTTCAGGAACTGAATCTCCATGACTGATTGTCATGGACATTTCTTCTTGATTGTGTGCTTCTTGTTCTTCTTTGAGGACTGATCCGAATGAAGTCTTGGACTTCTGATCATCTTCTTCTTCTGAACTAAGCATGACTTCCAAATCCCTGAACCAGGATAGATAAGATAACTGGGGATTTGTTGCAGTAACTGAAGGACCGAGCTGTCCTAGAGGGATGGGTAGTAAAGGTGGGTTTCTACCAAGTCCAAGCAGGTTAGGTCAAGGAGGGACTGGAGGCCTTGATTTCTGCAGGTTAGACACTTTTACAAGTAGTGACAATGAAGGCTGAGGGAGGATTTATGTCTCAAAAGAAACCTGTCAGCATAGAGGGGTATTGGTGTGTGCATGAGTGACTTTACATGTAGGGAGACATGAGCACTGGCACTAGGGAGGTGATCTATTAAAGCCTAGTGGCTGCCTGTAGAGCAGTGGATTTGATTGAGAGTAGAGGGGTGCTTTTCAATCTTGTTCAACAAGTGGGATGAGGGTGAGTTGAGTTTTTTGATTTTGTTATGCCCAAGTGCAGTGACTTCTTCAAATGGAATAGGCATGAAGTGCACAAGGGGGAGTCTATGGGCTGAACTTGTTGTAACCCCTATGGCTCAGATATTGCTGAGGTCTGGCAGAGGTTTGCTCCTTCTGGTGAGTTCCTTTGAGATCACAAGGAGGAGGGAATGAGGACAAAAGCAAAGGAAGTTAGCTGAGTTGCAAGCTATTGAAAAACTGAGAATACAAGGTAGAGTACATGGGTTTATATACCCCTAAGCATGAGTACCATACCAGTCACAACGAGGTGCGTTGTGACGCATATCTGCAGTAATCAACAAAACAATCAGACAAATGGATAAGTCAAAGGGAGTCATATGGTGTCATATAATGGGGGTAGGCAGGGGAATGAAGGCTATACCAGCTGCACAATCAATGCACAGCGAGGAGCCAGACACTGGATCTATAGTACAACATATGAGCAACATAAATGAGTCAGAAAAGAGTCAACTGGAACAAGAAAGTAACATGTCATCCATCAGAGAGGGCAGTGGAATACTGGATCAAAGTGGGAGTGCAGTCTCAACAGGTATTGGAAATACCTTGACAGTGGGGGACCCAGGCAGGCTTTGAAGCATATGAGCCCCTAGGATGGTGACAACTATTAGAGACATGACTAGGCATGTGATGCACATGACTGTGAGAAGTCAAAAAAGGAACGACCCCTGATGTGGGCATAACAGCTAGACCCACTCCACTTCTGCTATCCCTGCACTCTGGCAGATGATCCTGCCCTCGAGGATTTCAAAGATGTTGTAAATGTACTTGAAGCTGCCAAAAAGTATTCCCTTGATGCAATTGAGAGGACTGTATGCAAATCCCTCTTCAACCCCAAGATATTGGAGAAAAATTCACTTTGCTGCTTTTCCATCATGTGCCATGCTTGTTTGCAAGACAAGTGCATTCTAGCAGCTAAATATACCCTCTGGGAGCCTCTGATTCCCATGTGGTTTGAAGAGATTGAGTTGATTACTTCCACTGAACTCCTCACATTGCTGACATACCATTGAAATGTGGCACTGCCATTCAGGCTTTAAAGAACAACTTCTCTTGGATAACAACTGAATACCCTCAGTCAAGCACTGCCCATTGGATGGCTGCTTTACAGTCCAATGGTTATAATAACTGTTGCCAGTGGTCAACTTCTGGAAGGTACCCAATGCTTTATGGATATGGAGTTGCCCAATGGTGGGAAGCTTTCATAGATGCCACTTTCCTGGATTTGCAGGACAAGCTGTGTGTGAAAACTATCCTACAAAATGTGGAGAAAGCTATACAGACAGTTTTCCAGTGCAATTGCTCTCACTGTTCTGTGTCAGCACCCAGGGGGATGTGAGAATTTGGAACACTCTTTATCAGGAAAGTGGAAGAGTTAATTTCAGGGGTGAGCTCTATCTCTGTCATCAATGCCTGTGGTGGTTGGACGAGCTTATTGAATGTCAGGTTGAGTTGGAGCTGTGGTTTTGATATGACAGTAATTACTGCTTTCTAGTTGAAGACATGGTTGGAATGTATAAGGCATTGAATGTGATGTGGTGCTTTTTGTAAGTGTTTCATGTGCAATGGATATATTACCAGGTCACTCCCAAGATGGATGTGTGTCTTGAAGAGTAGGCAGCTATTACAAACAATCCCAGAAGGCATATCCCAAGCTTGGATTGGCTGTGCAAAACCTATGTTATTGTCAAAGCCTTTGCCTAACCTTTCCAGAAACAATACAGGGGTGAGGGGCAGCAGTATATCATTATTCCTCAGTCATTGTCTGCTTTGTGACAGTAATTTTACCACACTGTTGTCAGAGAGCATGTTGTTTCATCCCTTCTGCCTTGGCCACTATTGGTATGATATGATATCCTCCAATGGATCACAGCTTGCAAGCCACAAAGTATTTGCATGACAATCATCCAATGGTTATTGAGTCCCTTCATCATCAACAGGTGCAGGGTATGCAAGATATTTGAAGGGAGCCCAGGGCCCAGCTCGAACGGTCTTTACTTCCCCTCCTTCCAGTCTATTACAGGATCATTTGTCACCTCCTTTATTGATAAACCCAGCATGGCAGCCTTGTGGTCACAAATACCTGCACCTATTTTACAATACAAGGTGAAATGGAAGTCCATACCAAACCCTACGACCCATAATGATTTCTGTTCAGCAGCAAGGAAGGCATCTGTTTGAAATCCCCTTTCATCATGTATGCAAGGTGTAGCTTCTGGCACCTCAAGGTATGTCATAATATTTACTTATCTGTGTATCTTCATTATGTGGATGGTCATTGGTTCTGATCCCCTTTGTCAATGAGCACTTAAGAAGGTAATCTTTTTGAAGGGAATACCAGGACAGGCAGCAAGATTGGGAGAAGGGGATGCCTGGTGACTTATTGCCAATCCATGTCGACTTCACATAGTCCATGTGTATGGCCTAACTGGCCTATAAAAGGCTGGGCATCCACATAATGTACCTACATTGTACTGTATGACAGGGCCAGCAGAGGCTGACAATTGGCCATGTCCCACAGGCCAGTGGGGGTCAAGCCCTACATTGAGTCATCCCCCTGCTGTATGGACCAGCCCAGCTTCTATTATCAAATAACACATGAGTAGGCCACAATCAAATTGTCCTTGTAGTACCTGGAGTAGCCTAGTGTGAGATGTCACCTATCCAGTGGCATGCTGTGGCATGTGTAGATCAGCACTGGAAGTTGGCACAAGACCTCAGCATGCTTTGGGATAGCTCAGCAGTGTAGTGTTGTATGCTACAGCATATGTAGATTGGCACCATGTGGCAATCTGGGGCACATATGATGGAGCATACCATAGCATTTCAGAGCACTCCAGAGCATGCCATGGCCCTCCAGGGTGAGCTGCAGCATATGTTCCAAAGTGAACTGTGGCATGCCAGCCACTCCAAAGCAAATGCCAGAGCATGCCATGGCCCTCTGGAGCACACTGTAGCACATGTGCCAGAGCAAACCATAGCATTCTGGAGCACTCCAGAGCATGCTATAGCCCTCCAGGGTGGGCTGCAGCCACATAATTCAGTCAACCAAAGTCCTGAAACTGGGACACCTGAAGTGTACATTCACCCTGAAAGTGGGACTAACCAATGTCAGCCAATGGCCCTCAAAGTGGGTTGGCCACAGCTCATGGGACTGCCTAAAGGTGGCATTGGCCAACCTACCCTGGATGGGTGAGCCCCCTGAGAGGGGTGCCAGCTGGCCTAGCCTCAGCATGAGGGAGCCCCCTGGAAGTGGTATCAGCTGACACAGTCTCAGCATGGGGGAGCCCCCTAGAAGTGGTGTTAGCTGACATCACCTGAGCATGGCCCAGCCCCCTGGAAGTGGTAGCAGCCAACCTAGCCTCAGCATGAGGGAGCTCCCTAGAAGGGGTGTCAGCTGACATCACCACTTCATGAGTGAGCTCCCTAGAAGTGGTGTCAGCCAACCTAGCCTCAGCATGAGGGAGCCCCCTGGAAGTGGTAGTGGCCGACCTAGCCTCAGCATGAGGGAGCTCCCTAGAAGGGGTGTTGGTCGACATCACCACTTCATGGGTGAGCTCCCTAGAAGTGGTGTCAGCCAACCTAGCCTCAGCATGAGGGAGCTCCCTGGAAGTGGTAGTGGCTGACTTAGCCTCAGCATGAGGGAGCTCCCTAGAAGGGGTGTCAGCTGACATCACCATTTCATGGGTGAGCTCCCTAGAAGTGGTGTCAGCCAACCTAGCCTCAGCATGAGGGAGCTCCCTGGAAGTGGTGTTGGCCAACCTAGCCTCAGCATGAGGGAGCTCCCTGGAAGGGGTGTTGGCTGCATCACCTAAGCATGGATGAGCCCCCTGGAAGTGGTATCAGCTGATGCAGCCTCAGCATGGGGGAGCTCCCTGGAAGTGGTGTTGGCTGACATCACCTAAGCATGGCCCAGCCCCCTGGAAGTGGTAGTGGCTGACCTAGCCCCAGCATGAGGGAGCTCCCTAGAAGGGGTGTTAGCCAACATCACCATTTCATGGGTGAGCTCCCTCTAACCTCACTTAAGCCCAACCCAGCATTAGCAAAGCATGCAGCAGACATACAAAATTATATATGCATATCAGCTGCAAAACCTCCAGAATAAACAAGGATCTGTTTCTTCTATAATTTTTAACATATTTTCTTAGGAAAGATGGGACATTCTTGCAGTATGGGCCATATCATTGGATTCATTCTTCATAAACAGTCCATCTTTTATGTACTGTGGAGGTATATGTATTTTACAAAATTTCTACCAACCATGCAGATGACTTTTTTCCATCTAGTAATTTTTTGGCTCCTTGAGGCATAGAAATGGTATAAGTTTTGGGTGGCAATGCAGTCCCCTCCAAGTCCTTCCCACAATCAGGATACTGGCACTGATAGGAATAAGTTGAATCAGCACTAGCAGCCAGCCATTCTTGTATGCTCCCACACTGATGGCATTGAGCAGGCAAGTTCTGACCCCAAGGTTTGATGAACTTGTCAGTCCAAATGTACCTTTCCACCAATACCCTCCCTCCTTGAGACCCCCAAAACATGAGGGTGATGTTTGAGTGTCTACCCAGCACCCCACAGTCCTTGAGGGCAGCCTTGACTGTCTTATCCATCTGTTGAAAGCCTTGGAGGATGGTAATGTCCAAAACACTCATGAGGAAAGGAATGGTGTTGACAGGGAGTAACCTGTCTGCATCAAAGAGGAGCATTGACCTTGGCTTGAAGCTGGAATGGTGATGAGTGATAAATAAGTGCTCAGATGGAGAGGACACTTACTGGTTCATGGCTGACTTGAGGTCTTGGAAACTCTCCTCATGCTTGACCAGATATCCACACACCAGGAAGATGAGGTTACCTCCCTCAACAACCTTGGAGAGGGGTGTGAGGAGAGCCTCTAAAACCTGGAGATGGTGAGGTGAGAGTAAAGATTGAGAAATGGTGACTCACCTCAAAGACCCTTGAGACAAATACCTGCCCATCCCTACTTCCAGCAAAGAGATCCCCACTTTGTTCTTCACTGTGGGTAGTGAAGAAGAGAACCACCCTTCCATAAGGGGCCAGGAAGGAAGAGAGCACTTCAGCTGCAGTTTCATAGGCAGCCCTAGACTCCTGAGTTCCCAAGTCATAAGGCAACTGTGCAAAATTGTAAGTGCCCTCTTGTTTGAAATACCCTTGTATCATGGATTGGATGATATGGACTGGGTCAGGGTCCAGGGTCAAGCCATCCAGGTGAAGGTGGATGATGGCTGTGGAAAGGGTAGCCACTTCAGAGGTGGTGGCATGCTGGAATGTGCCCATGATAGCAGGGGGCTTGCTGAGGACATGCTCATCACCCAGATAGAAGCCCTGTATTTGGAGTTAGGCTGGATGGGGGAAGTTTGGATGGACCTACATAGTAGGGCTGAGGAGTTCCATGTCTGGTCCTCTTCCAATGACAACTGACACACCTAAGGAGAAACAAAAGGACTTGAGGTGATGAAATAGGGTGGTGGGTGAACATACCTAAAGGAGACACCAGGCTGGGTGATCTGTTGAAGGGAATCCTCTGGAACCACCAGACACTTGTTGCAGACCACCCTCCAGCAGCCCATGACATCACACTCCCATAAAGTGCCCCCATCCCTACACATGAGACAGAACTGAAAGAAGATATGAATATCATGATCAGAGGAAAGAGCAAACTCACAGAATTCCTTATCCTCCTCTTCTTGACTTGAAGTGCAGCCCTGATGGCATTGGCATTGGCAGCCTGGGCAGCTTGTTGCTCCTTGGCTTGTAAATTGACCAGAGAGACTCTGCCAGGCTTGTCACCAACATTCCTCTTGGAAGTTTGCTTTGTCCTTGCCATGGTAGTCTAGCAGCACAAGGTCAGTACCATGCAACCAAATACTTGGGGGAGGGAGACAATGACAGAACATGGGTAAACCACAGCTGACTGGGAATATAATGGAACAAGGAATGGAATTATCAATATAAATGTGTATATTAGATTGAATGATTATTACATGGTTACATACATATAGATACATAAGTGTGTACACTTCTAGACAAGGAAGACAGGGGCAAAGTAGGTAGGATGACTTACTTTATTTTGTGTATGACACAGAGGGTGGTGGGAGAGGGAGGGAGCAGCTAAGAAGACCTGTCAGTGAGCTAGGATAAATGTGAGAGGCAGCTTAGACTTACATACCTTGTTTTGGCTTGGACAGAGTGGGTGGGAGGAAGGGGGGAGATGATGAAGCTATATGAAAAGAAAAGTGGTGAGTAGGGGGGGAGATGCACCTGAAAAAGAATTAAAAAATCATGTACTTTTGTTTTTGGGTGGACAGTGCTGAGGAGAGGAGGGGGGGGGGGGAACCAACACCCAAGAATTATGAAGCTAGATGAAAACAAAAAACATTAGTGAAAGGATGTGGAGAAAGAAATCACATACCATTTTTTTGGTTTGGAAAATGGGGAGGGGAAGAGGGTGAGGGGGGGGAACACAGTGCCAAGAGCATGCAACTTTTTTTCAGCATGGAAAGGTGGCAAATGGAGGGAGGGGGATGGTCGAAAGGGAAACAGTATTTATGAAGCTTGGGTGCAGCTGCTCAGGCTGTTGTGGCATGTGTGGTGAGGTCACATGACAGGTGAACAGGGGAATGAGACACTCATGGGATAAGCAATGTGATTGCAGAGCTGAAGGTTGGATGCTGGGTTGATGGGACAGCTGGTGGGGCTGACATTGAATGCTGATTGGCAGCAGCCCAGTACTTCAGCTCATTCAAATCACATTGTGCCTGTACTGGTAATTTGGATCCACCAATCATCTTTGTTCACAAAAAACTGTGTGTTCATCCATATGTAACTCCTACTGGCAATAGAAACTATATACATTATTACCAAAAATGGTTATTAACTGGTCCTACATCTGGGAAACAGCTACACAATGCAGCTGTTAACAGCTTGTTTGCACTTGAGTGAGCCCTCTCATTGGCCAACAAGTGTCTCAGTGAGTCTTACAACAAGTCACTTCCAAACAGAGGCAGGTATAACCTGCTCATTCCCTTGGGTAGTTTTGCAGATGTACTAGTGCTACATGTGGTCTTTGCTCCAGTGAACACAGGGGACAAGTGATTGAGTCACTGGGCAACTGATGCATTGGATGCCAGGCTGATGGGATGGCTGATGTCACAGTAGAGCCAACATCAAATGAGTATGTTGGTGGCAGCCTGGTATTTCAGCTCATTGAAATCAAATTGTGCCTGTACCTGTAATGCAGATCCACCAATCTTTGCTCACAAAAACTGTATTCATCCATATGTAATTCCTACTGGCAATAGTAACTATGCAGATTATTACCAAAAATGGTTATTATCTTGTCTGAGGGGATCTGTTACATGCAGTCTTTGCTCCAGTGGCCCAGACACACATGGGGATAGTTCTGGGGATAAGTGACATGACTGAGGAACCAAATGCCTGATGTGGACCCTGTGCAGTGAATGTGTCACAATGTGACACATCACTCTTTCATACAGCCCCTCAGGTAGTTTTGCAGATTAGCAGTGGAACCAGTGTATGGTAATCAATATTAATTGATCTGAATTAACATCAGTAATTCCACTCTGCAGTGACACATGTCACTGGCCCTCAGCAAGTGATCAAACAAATTGTATGTAACTCTGGTGATCCAGATGGCAAGTGACATTCAGTCATGCAGTCACCAATTTTGCATACCAAGTACAATATACAATAGCTTTGTATTAAGGCATCACTTGTCAATAATAATGATAAGTTGATTAGGAGATTTGTGCTGGATCAGTGGCCATTCTACTTAATACTGAATGGTGACACATGACACATGATTTCACAATCACAATGGGCAGCTGAGAGCCCTGCCTGCAATTGGTTGGTCAGTGATCTTGGCATATTGGGAACACTGGACTGAATGTCCAGTACAGGACCAAATATCCAGTACCTGTACTGGATGTCAGGTACAGGACCAAATACCTGTAGTATGGGACCAAATATCCAGTACCTGTAGCACAGGAGCAAATAGCCAGCACAACAACCAGTGGCTAATTCACTCGCAACTGACAGCATTTGCCAATAGCATTCAATGGCACAGCAAATAAACACAAACAACATGTTCCCTTATAAACCTGGCATGCATGCTGACAACACACCTTTGTCACTTTCCCTCCCCCCTCAATGCTCCCTCCCCCCTCAATGCTCCCTCCCACCTCCCTTGACCCTCCTTGTCAACCCACAAGTCCCTTGTCACAATTTTGTTCCCAAGGTTTGTCTTTTTTTTCTTCTTTTTCTGATCCTCCTTGCCTTTGCAGATTCCCTCCCCCTTGAAAGTGTACTGCAGGCACTGGAAAGGGGAGGGAAGTCCCTCAGTCATCTGTTGTGCCTGGCCAGCATGACATCTGACTGGGGGACCTTGTGGGTTCTGGGGGATTTTTGTTATCTATGGGGTTCTGGGGGTTCTTGTCTATGTCCACTCATGTGTGCTAGCAACTTGGGATCTGGGGGATTTTCATCTGTGCCCACTCATGTGGGCCAGCTTCTCTACTTAGGGTACTGGGGGATTACTATTACTTTCCATGAGTTGTGCCTTTGTTCATGATACAAGGTAAGTTAAGCTTGTTTTCATTTCCTTTACTTTGCAATTGATCATCACTAGATTTTTTACTACTGCTGCACTTTTGGTGTCTTGTACCCCAGGTATGTGTCTACTGTTGGTCATTGAAGGAACTGACTCTAGTTTAAAGGCTAATGCACTTTTTGGGGGTTTTTGGTTGCATTTGAGGACATTTTTTCTAGAGATGTAACTGTACTCCTAGGGGAGGGCCCCCTCTGGGATGCAGGGAAGTCTCAGTTTCACTTGGAACTTTTTCTGCATGTGTATTTTGTGCAATGTAACTTAGATACATAAGTAGCAGAATATCAGAATTGATTGTCTTTCTTTAAATATGGGGATGTCAGTTCTCTGTCAAAACTTTTTGACCCATCACTGTGCTAACCCTAACCCTAATGCAAATTGCCTAATTGGAGGTATAGGATTGATTTCTTTTTTGCAAGTCTTCTTCCCCTCACCCTAATACAAATTTATGTTGTTGATCTTTTTGCAAGTCTTCTGAGTCTTTTAAGTACATATATTTTTCCAAGTTGTGAAGTCTTTTTGCCCACTGTCTACTGTAAACATCTCCCTGTAATGTATTAGTACCTTTTCCCTGCTAAATTAAAAATTGGGTATCAAGTACCAGTAGTGTGTTGCTGGTACTATGGACCTAGAGACAAAGGCTTCAAGGTACCATTTTACTAAACACATGGCAGAGCACCATGCATAGGAGCATACCTGCCTGGAGTTGATCAGATTCCAGAAGATGTGTCTAGTGAATTATGTCATCATTTGGAGTCCTCTAATGAGGTCAGTGGCCATTTTGTTCAGGGAAGCTGGAGGCTGGCCCACAGGTATCAATGAGATATTTTAGTTACCAGGTCTGTTCATCTACCTTTTTCTTTTGGAAGCCCTACTTATTCTCTGATGGAGGTGTAGTTGCTGGAAACAATTGTATTCTTCATTTCACTGGTGGCACTGGGGTTTTATGTTCATATTGCATTCACTGCATATCTGCAGCACCCCAATCCAATTCTACATTTATGTTCAAGCCCTCAGGACTATTCATAATTGGCAAAACCAGAGCCTGGTCACTGCCACAAACCAGGTGCCAGGGAGTGCCTTCATGAGGGAAGGTCACACCTGGAGACTGAGCAACTTCTTGATCAGATAATAAATACTATTTAATGGACACTGATAATACCCTGGGGCCTCAAGTGACAATGCCTGCCCTCATTCAAATCTTTCTGGAACTTTCTATGTCTTTCCCACCCTTCAATTTTTTCATTCTCCACCTCCCTTCCTTCCTTCCATCCTCAATCCAACCCAGTTCCCCTCATGGATCTCCATATGTCTTTGACTGCTACTGTTGCTTCCATGCTTAAGACTGCATTTGGGGCCAACCCCAACTTCTCATCTGGCACTGTTCTCACAAGGGACCACCTCACCAAGCCTAGGTCAGCTCCCTGCCTCCTCCTATCTCCAAACCTTCTGGTGACATCTTCATAGACTCTGAGCCCTCTCCCTCTTGGCCAATGCCCAAGTAGCCCTCCAACAACCTGATCTTCTTGATGATGCCATTACTTCCCTGGAAGTCAGATTGGCTGCTGCTGTCATTTCACATGCAATCTTGAATCCCTGTAGGGTGACTCTCCCATCCAAAACAATTCACCTCTCACTCCTTGCAGGTGTGGTTGATTGGGATGTGGATCAGTTTGTGGATCCTTTGCCCACTGCCAAGGACAAGTTTATCTATTTTGAACACCCCAACATTGGCTCTCTGGATGCTCCAGCCACAGTTCTTGATAGGCATGGCAGGCTCCTGGTATGGTATTTGCCAGGAATCATCCATGGTGCAAGGATTGTGTGTGTTTTCCCTCTCTATTGGCCTTTCTTTCACCTCTTTTCATACAGCAACTTCTCAATGAACTTCACCTCTCCATCAAGGACTCCCTCAGGTCAAAGTCCAAGCACAAGCCCAAGGACCTGTCCAAGGTTAACAAATGTTATGGTCATCAACATCAACCTGTGGACTCTCCCACCTATGGCCATGGCAGGATCTCCATGTTTCCAGCCACCTTCATGCAGGCTCACCATGTTGGCTACTCCCTCTCATCTGTTAAACTGTCACTGAGATCCCTGCAGAGGCTTGTGGACAATCTGCACCAAAGTGCTTCCCTCAAGAGGAAAGCTACAAGAAAATGGCTCCAGCAGATTGCCCATGTTGAAAAGTTCTGGAGTGACATTATAATGGTCACTTTGCCTGACCTTGCCAGGGCTGGCTCAGAAGTTGTCTTTGACCATAGAGATATCCCCCCATCCTGCACACAGCTGCAAATGCACAGCACTTGTGATACCTCTCTCCCCTTTCCCCTCTCCTGCAACACCTTCTCCTCACTTGGAGTTGGGCATCCTCCCCAGTGCAAACTCACTCCCAACTCCCACATCACCAAAACACATCCCAGCAATCAGGAGGATCCAAGTAAACAAGACCTTCTATGAGGTGCTTGATGTATTATTCTCAAGCACAGGCTTTCTAGGAAGGGGTACTGTTTGTTACCTTGCTTGCTACAATGGGGAATACTATGTCATCAAGGATTATTGGGTGGAGGAGTCAGAGCAGAGGACAGCCCTGCATGAAGTCAACATGATGAAGCTGGTCCAGGACATTGATGGAGTTCCCAAGTTGCAACACTACTGGGTCATTGAGGTCAAGCTGGGCATTGTCAATAAAACTGAATGATATTGTGATGAGAAGTGGCAATCATGCATGAACTCTTGGAGAACTCACACACAATTGGCTATGAAGCCATGTGCAAGGCAAATGGTAATGTTCAAGACAAAAAAGGAACTTGTTTCATGCATCCAAGATATTTTATGAAGTACATATCCTCTTCCACTTGTAAAATCAATACTAATTGCTTTAACAGTCCAACAGCAGGCTCTCGAGAGGGGTGTCCTCCATCAAGATTGTAGCATCAACAATACAATGATCAAGGACTTTGCAAATGGGTTGCACAACTTTCTCCTTGACTGGGAATTTGCTGTATGGGTCATGTTACAGGGGGAATATGACTTGGGCAGCACAGTAAGTACTATGCAAAACATTTTGGAACTCAAAGCTGATAGTACACAAAGGGGACAGTCCCCTTCCTTTCAGTGAATATCCTTTGCCAACTCAAGGAAGCCATCACTAAAAGTGGAAAGACTAATGTCCCATTGATCCAGAAAAGTGCCTCTCTCACCCACATATTCATCAATCACCCTACTACTATACACCATACATTTGCAGATGATATTGAATCCCTGTTCTATGTTTTCATCTGGATCCTCATCCTTTATGATGGGCCACTTGGCCACAAGCATCAAGATATCAGCCATGAAAAGACACTTCTTGGCCTGTGGAGTGAAAAGGGAGCTGAAGATCTCGAAATCACCAGATGCACCAAGTTCACATTCCTTAATGACCCATCCAAATTGAGGCTGGATTCCAAGGTCTTGCAATATTTTCAAGATCTAATCCCTCTGGCTAATGAGTGGCACATATTGCTTGGGCAGTCCCTGCTGAGTGGAACTGCAGTGCAGCTCTCTGACATTATCTCCCTTTTTGATCATTTCTTGGCCAGCATGCCATATGAGAAACCACCAGAGATGATGAATGCATTCCAGCAGATCATCACCCAGCACAAAGTGCTTAATTCAAGCATGTGTCTGAGTCAGAAGAATGATATGGATGTTATGTCTTCAGCAATTATGTCTTCTAAATGCCTTTGTGAAGAGGTAAGGAGCATGGATAACCCTCCTATACCCAATAAACACTTCAAAGGCATGTAGTCTTAGCATGAATTTTATGTTTAGTTCATGTTCTGTACATTACGTGTAAAGTGTTTCAATTCATTTGCAGCAGGTAACCATCTCTGCACATCATTTCATTTTACATCTCACAATGAACCTGTCAACATTTATATGGATTCACAAGATGTCATTTTGTCATGGTCCCCAGGCTTCCATCTTATACTGTTCTCTGTTTAACTGCTTGTATCTTCAGATGTCCACCCAATCTGGAACAATCCCACTGAAAAAGAAGGATAGCAAAAAAGCCAAACAACAACCAGAGGCCAACAGAAGCACTCGACCCACAAAAAACAAGTGTCTAGGAAGCCCACCCATTGATCTCAAAGAGTCTCAGTCTGTTGCCACAGTGGGACTCTGTCATAGTGGAAGGGCAGGGGTGGGTTCAGGTGGAAGGGCTGAGCAATTGGAGTGGATTGGTACTGCCCTTGAAGGCTGAGCTACACAGCCACAAAAGTCGACAGATCTCCCCAACAATTCTGTTGTAAATCCTCTTGCACCTCCACCCACTTGGCAGAAAAAGGGTGGGGGCCACAGTGCTGGCCAGAATGCAAAACCAAAGGTCAGTTCTAGTTATTTGCAAATATCAAGCTAACTGCTTGCAAAGTCCAATGTCACTCCACCACCCTACGCACCTCCCATTGTGAATGGTCCTAGCCCAGCTGATATGCCTCCAGTGAGTGTCTTTTCATACTGATATACAATGTTCATTTCAGAATCCCATCCCTCAGTCTTCAACAGCAGTAGCAACACCTGTCTTCCATCAGTGCCCCACAGACTCCCATTGCTTTGGTTTCAGTGTTCTGGCTCAACAGCCAGGTCATATTGTGCCTCCCAGGATGGAACCTGACCTTCAAGTGCTCAATAATCCTTATATTTCTGTGATTCAGGGAGACCAAGTTCCCAGTAATACATCTCATCTGCCAACACCCCAGCCCAACTACCAGTCTCAGTTTATCCCCCACCAGCTGCCTGCTACCATCCCCAACTCCTGTATCAACCCCTCCCTTGATAGCTCGCTCTCATCAAGACAAACTTCAGCAACTGCTGATGTTTGCCACAAGAGTTCAGAGAAGCTGTCATCAGAGGGCTCCTCAGAAGAGGAATCAGAGTCCTTGAGTAATAACCCATCAGACACAGAGGCTGGTGAGGTCTCTGGCAATGAGTTCAACAAAGATGAGGATGATGCATTTGGATGGGGTGCAATGAATCTTAGGCAATCAACTCATCCTGGTATGTGTCAGAGGTTATTATGGTATTGGCTCAATGTTCTTTGTTAGGCTTCTCCCAAGAAACAATGACAAGCAATCCTATTCACCACAATTCCTTACCCCCTGACCACGAGTTTCAGTACTCACATGACAAGCATGACAATGTGGCTCTGCAAAGCTTACAATCCAAGGACAAGGCTCAGCCAGAGGTACAAAAATGCCATTCCTGCTAGCTTTATTTATTCAGATTGTTATTTTAGGGTTCCCAATGTGGCACTGTTGTTGACGTTCTTGAATGCCACCATTGCACTAATGGCTGTCCTGTTCCTGATCGTGATCTTCTGACCCTTGCACATGACTTGGTCAATGAAGTATCTCAGTATGCCAGAGCCCCTTGTAACTCCAAGAAAGCTAAGGATGAGGGCCCATTGCCTTCACAACTGAGATTTTACAAGGCAGTATGGAAGGACTGTCTCAAAGACACTAAGCAAAAATGCAGGGCTGCACATGCACTTTCTAACCCATTCCCATCAAAATCTCATGACCTCAACCTCTCCATAACAGAGGCACTCGTCACTGTCATCGTTGAGTGGAATCAACATGGTGTGCAATTTGAAGATGGTGAGTAACAATATTTTCGCTTTATACATGTCTCATTATCCTAACTTTATAGGTTACTGGCCTGACCACAAGCAAGATATGGCATGCCTTGTAAGTAGTCCCATCTTTCAGTTACAGCTACTGACATACCACCAGTAGCTCCTTGGTGATATATCTACCTGGTGTTCAGAATTGAAGTCGGTTACACTGGCAACCACGCCATCTGCATTCAACCTTATCCCTCCTTCTGATGTTGCACCATGGGTTCATGTACAATGGATAGAGACTGCTGCCGCAAAGCTCCTTGACAACTTGCTTCTCCTGCAAGACAGTTTCAACAAGAATGTATGTTCACATGGTTCATTGTCTGCACTACTAATGGATTGGTTTATCAGGGAAAAACCAGGAATTTTGCTCGCTCTGCCCTCAAGGAAGCTGTCATACAATTCTACTATACTGGGACCTATCAAATCACAGACAAGTGTCCTGAGTCCTTCAACAATTCAGTTCCCCTTTCCTGTCTGGCTCTCATTGCAGCTGCGGTGAGTTATTTTACACCCCAAGTCACTGCAACTCAAACTTTTCTCACAGTATCATTGTGTATTGTGTTGGAGATATATTTTCCCCTGTGTTCTGCTCACTTTGGTGCGATGTTTGGGCGCTTACATAATCACCTTAGAGCGCACATTTTACAGTAGTTTATTCACTGTTCCCTCAGTAGCTTGTTGCACTACTGAGGGTAAGCTCACTTTCACTACCAGTATTATACTTACTGATATCCTGTAGATACCTACAGGTTGGTCTAATACATTAGTAGCTTGTTGCACTACTGAGGATACCTACAGCATCCTTCAAAAGTTGGGACCTGATGTGACAAGTTCATTGGTGTCCTATCAACAAGAAATGCTGCTGAAGTGGAAGCCAGTGCCTCAGTGGCCTCCTTTGCAATGGAATGCCAGGCTGGTGTGACCTGTGAGCATGATGGGCCAGCAGCAACTTCAGGGGAGTTACCTGTTTCTTCTCCTTGTAAGTTGTGATACTGACACATCACCACTGACACTGCATGAACTGGGCTGGGTAGGGTGAGTGGCAAGCATCCCTCTGCATCATATGATGTCTCCAGGCTAGGTGCCATCATCTCAGCAGTTATCACATTTGGGTCCAGTGGGTAAACACCAGTTTTCTGGAATGCAGCTTGAATCGTCTCTTTGGTAAGTGTTTTCCAATGTGTGCCAGCATAAATAGAGATAAAGTTCTCCTTTGATACAGCCTGTCATGTAGATGTTTTGAATGTATTGCACTCCTGCAACCAGGCATGTTTGAGTGGTCCAAAGATGACAATGTCAAGCTCCTGGTATGCATGTGTGCCATGTGCTGGGTAGCAAAGTATGTGGATGTTGTGGTTTCTTGCATATTCCAATAATGCTTTTGTGTAGTGTGAGTTATGCCCATCTACAAGCAACAAATGAGAACATCCATCTGCCTTTGCATGTGTTTTATTGTCAAAGTCCTGGATCCACAGATGGCCAATTTCACCATCTGTCCAGCCTTTTGGCAAGTGTGCAATGCTTCAAATGGTGAGCCATTGATCCCTTGAAGCATATTCAATCACTCACAAAGCATTCAGATCATTATTTTGATGCCAATTGGTTGAGAAACCTTGTCCCTTGTAGATGATGGTAGGTGCAATACTACTTCCATCTGCACAGATTGCCACCATCACAGTAATGTTTTCTCTATTCCCATCATGCTGCTGGTGCTGAATCTTTTGATTAGCAGCCCCAAAGACACACTCTTTCACCCCTGTTCCAGGTTGAAACCCTGTCTTGTCTGCAGCCCAGATACAGCCTGGCTTGATCCCATGTTTGGTGATTGTGTCCTGCAGTAACCTGAACCATGCCTCATTTGTGTTCTTGTTCACCACATGTCCATGTTTAGCCTCAAGTGGGCTGCTCCAGTACCTTCCCAGCTGGTCATTGTGCCTAGATAGAAAGTGATTAGTCCAGCTTGTCCCAACCCCTGCTTCTTGGAAAGCATCTCCCAAGTGAGCCTGCAGGATACTGTCAACATGATATTTCAGTGTCCTACGATTGAATGGGAAGCCTCTTGCTGCAAGCTTGAGGCAGTATTTGACAACTAACTCCTCCTCCTCCAAGGTAAGCCACCCTTGACTCTCCAGACCAGCTTCCTGATGCCCCCTTCCTCCCTTTGCCCAGCACCTCACAGTTTCCACAGCCACAGTTACATCTCTACACTGTTGCTGCCACTTTGCTTGAACATCTGCACAGACAGGCCAGAGACCCCTCCACTCATCTTCTGGCTTTGCAAGCTCATTTGTGTATAGTGCCACTGCTTCTCTCAAAGCTTCCTCTTGGGCTCTTGACTTTTCTCATTTCTTGCTCAAGATGGACTTTGCACACCCAGCCATTTTGCTGGTGGGGAGACTGCCTTTTTCTGTGTCCTGGATCTACAGTCTGACCTTCCCATACTTATGAGCCATACCATAACTGGCATATCTCTTTGTGTAGTGTTGCATAGATATAGATATTGCAGTCATAAACACCCTTCTCCGGCATCATCATGGCAAGTCAATGTAAAGTCCATTGTCTACAAGGTACTAGGTAGATCTTTACTGGACCTACTTCTACATCCCATGATGTGTGAGGAGTCGAAAATGTGTGTTACTGCAAAATAGGACACAGGAAAGTCCTAAGTAAGCATTTATTTGCACTGTAGCTATGTCATCTACATGATATATGGTTCAGTATTTCATTCAAAACCTAGGTAGAACCATAGCCAAGTTGCTTGTGAATTGTTGAGATGTGTTATGTTGATGAATCAAACAAAAGCATCACTGTATCAAATCCCAGTGGTGTCTCAAATCTAGGTTGATGACTGTACTTTATGACACTGAGCAGAATCATATGAAGAATCTCTGTTGGCATGTCCAAGTGTATATTCATACCTGAAGGACTATTAGTAATTGCATGAGAAGAGGTAAAATGCTGCCTCACCATTCATGCCTAAGAGTGGGTTTATCACATTGTCCAGGTTCTTTCCATTGAGAAGATCCTCGAGTTCCTTCTCCAAAGCAGCCTTGACCTCACTCTCTTTCATTGTGGGAACACCAGCACCTCACTTGTGAAGCTTCTTGCCCATCTCAACAAGTGTAGTTAAAATCCCAAGTGACAGCAAGTCACAAACTCCAGTCATTGAAAGCGATGTTTTGACCTTTTCCATTGCACCAGACAGCTTCACATTCATGAACTGACTTTTGATTTCATTCACTATTCCCTCTGGTGTGTGAAGGTTTCCTGACTGGCATGAGATATTAGTTTTGAACTCAAATCAAGAGGGAATATTTGCCTGACCTTGAACAAGCTACAGTATCCCTGCTCAGACTCCTTGTGCTCCTTCATTCCTCCAACATCACAAGTTTGACAAAAGTGGTTACAATTCAAACCACCCTGGCTACACTCCTCTGCCTGCATAGGATTGTCCCCTGCATAAAATAATCCATGTGGAATCAACATCACTTCTTCATTGTCTCAACAGTCCCAAGTGATTATACCCAACTCAGTGGCATTCCTGAAACAGAGATGTAATGAGATGGTGAGAGTTTGTAGAGCATGAACAGGACTTACAGTATTGATTGCTTCATTCCATGCATCAACTCCATAGGAGAAGCATGTGGAGATGATGTGACAAACCATACACAGAACTCTTGATCCAAAATTTCACATGGAAGGTTTGCATTTGACATGTATATCACATAATGCGTGTTCCACTGTTTGGAGATATTGCCAGAGACATCATCCATAAAGATAATCAATGGGATGGCATAGACCATCCAACCACCTGATTTTTTATGCCACAGGTTGGGTTCCAGCAATACATACTTCTTTGATGACTTGGTCAACCCACATGTGAGTTGAGAATGACAGAAGGCGACATCCTCATATGATCTTCTGAATGCTGAGGTTGGTATGATCTCCATTTCATCACTGACAATAAAACCAACCTGTGATCAAACATGCCAGCATTTTTATCAATGACCACAGCACACCTCAATGCATCATAAAACTTACTTCAGTTCATTCAGCAGTGCATCCAAGAGTGAAGAGCTCTTTTGTGTCTGCCAGCTTTCCACCAGAACCTGAGGCAACACTTGGTGATGCAAGGAAGAAGTGCTCAGGTATAAAATATGCTCCAGATGAATCTTGTAGTAGCTAGTCAACATAATAAATGTTCCTGTTGACATGGACTGAGGGGGGAGATGGTCATTCATGTAGCATCTTCTCCCCATGGAAAACCTGTGACATTCTGCTGCCACTGTCCTCCAGGAAGTCTTGCATCGCAAATCATGTGAGGGGATTTGCATAGTCCTAAGCCCAGATGTACATTTGTGTCACTTTTATAAATGGACCAAGTCAGCCATTGGTCACTCACCTTCACAATGGCCTTTGCAACATCGTTGATATAGAAGACATTACCAAATGGTGAAACAACCTTCTTGGTCAAGTCACCCACAATTTTCTTGACTTGCTCATGGCACTGTTTCAGTGCATACAAAGACAGTACATCATGGGCACTGAGTTCCTTTGCCCAGTTGAGGATGGCTTTCTTTTGTGGGTCAGAAAAGGGAAGCCTTGGAGAATTGAATAGTATCATGGTGAGAAAATGCTGTACATAGAAATTATGTTCAGCATCAAGCTATCAACCATAATAAAGTTGAACATACAGCTTTCATTAGCCAAGGATAAGTTGGGCTGTCAGTGCATACCTTGGTTTTCACAGAGTTAGAGTGGATGAGTTTGTCACCTTCATCATCTAGAACATGAGATTAAACAGGCATAAGAAATTTTCAGCTACAAGCAAATAGACTACTTACCTGGAAGCTCAATACCAAAGTCAGACTCCATGTCTTCATTGAGAAGAATGTCATTGCATGGGAATTGATTGAGTGCAGTGGCTGGGTCAGAAAATAGTGGTTCACCAGAGGTGAGTGCATCTTGCAGCTCTTGAAATAAATTGCAGGTCCCATCTATGTTTTGATAGCAGCTGTTGGATATCACATTCCATAGCTCATTCAATGGGACAAGTGGAATGTCATCTGGCCCTGGCTTGGGGTTCAAAGGGGGAAATTTAGATGGTCCAGAAGTGGGATCTTCTTCAGCATCAAAGCCTCCCATGCATTGTGATCTGTCAAAACTATCAGCATCCATGTCACACAGTTCAGGGCTTGTGTGCAAGGTGCTATGGAAATCAAATCAAGGAGTGTGATGAGGGGCATGGAAACCTGAAAGCAACATCCAACTGCTTGTTTTGTACTTGACATGGCATTGGTGGAGGAGGGAGCCAGCATGGCTGTCAATGTGTTTCAAGTCAATGGTACAATAAAGGCCATTTGCAGCTGGGCAGACCAAGCAGTATACACTTGAGGTACCTCTTTCTGGCACATACCAAAAGACTGCCTGTAAGTTAGTGACAGAAGACAAGGAGTATGGCTCATTTCAATGCACTTACTTTTGCCATCAACAAGGTGTGCTATCTTGGACTTCCTGGGCATCCTTCACATATATAACAGAGACAAATGTACTTTTTGGTGGGCAACAGCACCAGTGCACACTGTGCAAGATTTGCAGCCCAGTGCAGGACTTTGGCTTGGTGTGATGACTTGCCAGTGTATTGTTCACATGCACAATCAGTATCATGTGACTGGCAAACTTCTGATTCTTGACAAGTCTTCAAAGCTTCACCACTCACCGCTCATGCCAAAATGACCATGCTGCTCACTGTGAACACAGTGGTTTATCCTGATGTTGAATATGCCAACACTGAAACTGCATTCCTGCAGCTGCTAATTGTTATGGTCTGCTTTACTGGACCTGTACCTTGACATCTCATTCATACAGACATTGTGCATGTTTCTCCCCCATTTCGATTCATTCTGTGGCACTGATGAACATATATTATTAGCCTATCAAAATCTCTGCATCTATTTCCAAGGAATACAAGGGGATTACCTTGCCAGTCATTCACACAAAGGCATGGAGTGCTCACCAATCTGAGTGATCAACTCATTCTGTCACCATGAGTTTTGCCACCATGAGTTTTTCCCCATCTTCACTGCTCACTACTGACTAATAAATGGCAGTCTTTACACATCATGCCAGGCAGCATCGATCAAGAAGATTCTGCTGGGGATTTCCCAATCCCATTCTTACCTCTGGCCCCTATGTTTGACCCCATGGATACCTGTCACTGGGCCACACTGTCAAAAGACATCAAATGGTGGCTTGTGAATGATGTACAGATGACATCCATTCCCCAGTGGGCTTGTGGTCATGATGCCTTCTGGCTTGCATACATTGCTGCTCATCCAACATTTCCCAATGGAAGTTGGTCTGTGTGGGATCCAAGGATCCCCATGGAGGGACAGTTCATTGAAGAATGGCTCAATGATGATGGGATTAATGGTAGCACTGATGGGATGTCCAGCAATGAAACAACTGAGCACACACTATTGTTCAACATCTGGGAATCCTTCAGTAGACACATTGCACTTTTCTATCCCTTCATCTTGATTCCTGTCAGTTGAGCTTCCTGCAATGTATGCCATCTTGTTCTGTTATTCCTTTACACTCCATCTGTATATACAGTAGCAACTGTTAACATTCTGCTGCATTGTATGACTTGTATGCAATATGCTATTGAATGACTTCTCAGAATTTGTCACACCCAGTCCCATCTTAGCATCTCATGACACAGTAAACATGCCCATAACTATATGTTTGGGCAGGATATGAGAGATGTATTCCTGGATGCTGTTAGGCCTGGGTCTGTAAACTCTTTGTCAGGGTCAATCATGCTGGGCCAACCTCCAGTCACATATCAGGGGTGGGAACTCTGGGGTTAACTTGATTCACAATAGGGATTTTGTCAATGTACATTGTGTCTAGCAGACTACATGAAGGCACATGGGAGATTGTGCACATCTCATGGACAGTGGCATGCACTGCTTGTATATTGATGTTACTGGACTCAGTGATGGTTCTGCAATCTCTTATGAGCTCCTGTGGTGAGAATATGCATTTGAGTGTGTTACTGTGTATGATGATTTTTGTGCCAGGTCAGCAGACCTTGAAGGCTCCATGCTGGTATGTTGTGCAGACTCTGTTTGCAAGCTTGTTGAACAGTATCTGTATTTGACATTGAAGCAACTTAGAGCTATTGCTGGTTGTCACAATTTGGTTCTGCATAGTAACTTGCTTTGAGTGATGTGTGTTGATGCACTACACAATCATCATTGTATGGTTTCCTGTCCTTTGCTGGTGTACATGTTCCACTGGAGAGGGCATGTTTGTGGCTCTTTGTCATTATGTGCCCCACCCATCCTCCACATTATAAATGACTGCTCATATGCCACCCTCTCCCACCCCATAATCCATTAATTGATGCCTTCAAACTATGATGCTGCATCTGTAACATTAAACAAACAAAAATAAAACACCTGATTGTGTGACTTTTGCAGTACTGCTCCTGTGCAACTTTTTATACTACCCCTGCATAATTTTTAACACAGCCACTTTGCACCACTTTGCACTAGCTAGGAGGGCAGATAAAATAGATAAATGTAGGCAGGACATGAACACAGTTTGTCAGCACCCTCCCTAGTCATCCTGCCCAATCCATGAGGCTGTGATGCCCCACAGGGCCCACTTGAACACTCAACCCCCTCCCCCACCCCTCCCACCTGGTGGTGGCAAATTCATGTGACCACACTCTGCACCACAAGTCATCACTGGCCTAGTGAATTTGGGCCCATTTCTTGGCAAAATACCCATTATTACATGGGATATGTACAGTAGCATTGAAACGAGTCCTGAGGAATGGGCAAGGAGTGCATGTGGCCCTGACTTGCCTGCTCCCCCATGCACATGCCCTACTTAGTCAGTAGCTGTGGACACAGCCACCTGTAAATTTTCTGCACATTACTGCAAAAGTCATGCAATCAGCTGTTTTATTTTTGTTTGTTTAATAGGGGAGCTCAGAGTTGTCACTTTTTGTGCTTGCATTCACTTTTGCTTTTACTGTTCATCATGTGACCCTACTTAGCACAAGTAAATAATTTTTAATACTGGTTAGGAAATTTGATGGGTTAGGGTTATCACTGCATGCCCTCAGACACTTGCCTGCTCCTCCCTTGATGGCCAAGAAGCCCAAAGTGACCTTGCCACCCATCACATGGGATGCCAATGACCACACACTTGTTTGGCAACTAATATTGGAGATCACAAAGCCTCAAAATCTAAAGGTTTTGTGTGGTAAGTCCAAGCACAAGGTAAGTGACCCACTAGCCATAGCCTACTGCATTGCTAACACAGAATTGTATGTAGAACACTTCAGGCAAGATGAAAGCCAGCATTTTTTGGCACATTGGCTCTGTCCTGCTGCCTGAGCTGTACAGCATGGATGCTGCAGCCACCAGGGATCAGATTAAACACAAATATGAAGGGTATGTCAAGTTTAGGTTACTAGATGAGACTAATCTCTCTTGTAGGCTTGTGAAACTGTACAAGCAGCATGCAAAGAGGCTTGCTATCACTGGGGAGGGCATTGGCACTGATGCCAAGGATGGTATGGATGCAGAGACCTGTACATACTTCATTGAGGCTACTGGGCTAAACAAGGGCACTCCTACAGAAGCAAGAAACATCTGGGGTAAGTACTTTCACATGTGCCCTTGTCAAGCTAAATCATTATCATTCTAGATGATATTATCTCCCAGTTCCCTTTCTTCCCTGATCTCCATTGCATCTGGGCTATGAAACCTAACAAAAATCCCATTGCAGTCACTACAGGTGTTGGGCCCTCCAGAAAGAGGGCACTGATCATGCAACCCCTTGCAGCTAATGATGAGACAGCTGAGTGTGATGATGATCTTGGGTTGACTGACTCTCAGTGCCAGGAGATCCAGACTTTGCAGGATGCACTGGATGTGGCCCAATGATCTGCTGTCCAGAAGGAGAACCTTGCACCCCCCTCTTCTCAGTCACAGCCTACCCCTGTTACCCCTCTGCATGCCATGCCATGGCCATGGTCAATATCATAGGAGAGTGTTCTCAAGGCCAAGGAATGCATTCAGAAGGTGATGAAGAAGTGTACCATTGAGGATACTCTGATGGACATTCACAAGTAAGCTTTACCCTTTGCTTTGGTTGTATTTCTCATGTACATTCCAGGTCAAATACTGATGCTATCAATGCTCATATTCAAGAGGAGCTGATCATCAAAAAGTGCCAGCTGCTTTTGGAGGAGTTCAGAGCAGGTGTGTGGGATTTGGAGGAGTATCAAGAGGAGTTGAGGAAGTTGGAGAGTGGTGAACATCCTGGAAAGTGAGCTTGACAGTACTCTCCTGACTGGAACTTAGATTTCTGACCTTTGTCACTCTTTATCACTTACAGTAGTCACTCCTAACTGGAATTTGGATTTCTGACCTTTGCCACTCTTTGTCATCTACAGTAGTCATTCCTTTGCTTGCATACTTAATTGATCTCTTTGGGTTAATGTGGTTTACATATTCTGAAAGGCAAATAATTCCTCCACTAGCTTTTTGCATTTGGCCTCACCCTCAGGGTTAACCCTCTCTGGAAACTCCTCATGTGGTCCTCTGTCCTCCTCCTCCTCTTCCCTTCCATGTTGTGAGGCAAAATATGCACCATGTCTTCCACCCTCCACTTCAATCACCAGATTGTGCAAGATAATGCAAACAGAGATCCATTGGCAGGCAGCAATGCGTTGTGAATTAGAGTTGATATTCACCCAAAGACCATGAAGGCATTTAAATCAACCTTTCAATGCACCCATACAATGTTCAGAGCAAACCCAAATATCGGCAACAGCATAGTCAAATGCAGCATTCTCTGGAAGTAATGCTGCTGGCTTTTTGTGGACAGGAATGGTCTGTGGAGAGATACCATAGGCTGAGTCAGCCCATGCAAACTCCTCTCCATGAAAAAACCAATCTGGGTATTTGGCTGCTCCTGCATGCTCAAATGCCCAAGCATCATGAGCTGATCCTGCCATGCCATGTGAATAATCCACAATACAAAGGTTTGAAGGGAGGTTTCCAATCTATGATATGGTTAGGCCTATCTCACATAAGAAAATGTCTCTTACCTGGACATTGAGTCCATAGTTTGACTTATGAGTAAAGTAAGACTTGCCATTCAGAGCTGGCTTGGCATATGGAGGGACAATGGTACCATCATACATCACCCATCCTTCATGCCATGTGCCCTTGAACCCAATATGCTCATCAACCCAACACTTCTCCTGCTCCTTTTCAGCAGCAGTGGGGAGGCATACAAAGGCATCATGGTTGGCATTGATGGCATGAAAGCACTGCTGTGTACACAGTTCCACTGCACCTTTAGAGCAACCAGCAAAGCATGCAATGTCCTCTAGTGATGCACCATTGCCATATTGACCCATTTGACATAATGTCACCCCCAACTGGACCTCAACAGCCTCCTGAGCATTACCAGAATTATTGGAGAAGACTGGATGATCCTCAATGAGTGATAAAATGACCTGGAACACTTCAGGAGAGACATGTAGCATGTTGACAAAGCAGTGGTGATCAGATGGGGATTGTGCATACTCCCAGGCAAGATGCAGGCTACCAGACTTGTGCACAGGAGAGTGGCCTTGCAGATATCAAGTCTGCTAAATAGCCAAAATGCAGCTAACATCAAGATTGAGCTCTTGTGCTAGGCCTTCAAGGGTCTCTGGAGGGTGGGATACAGCATGGAGGACCATAAGCAAGATATATGCAGCAAGGTATTGGTCATGAAGTGCTGTGCAAGCCATAGATTGCAGTATCAGAGTGCAGCAAGATCTCTGATCTACTACGATAAAATGTATTATGTAATACTAGTATTATGTTGTTAACATTTCTGCTAAGTCTTTTCTGTGCTGATCACATGACCAACAGTGAAAGCAAAAGCAAGTGCGAATAGCAACAATGCTGAGCTCCCCTAATGTTACAGATGCAGCATCATATCAAACAGATAAGACATCTACCACCCAACATAAAACCTACAGAGACAAGTAGTCATGTGTTGCCTTCATAAACAGCATCACCTCATAAAACAAACAGTCGCATAAACTTCCCTTCCACCCCACTTAAACATTTCCCTAGTGTAGCATCTGCATTTTAATAATAATGTGAACCACATGCAGAAGTGCCCTGCATCCAGGAGCAACCAGAGGGCTATTGTATATACTTATGTATACACTGGATATATAGTTGGCATCCACCCTATGGTACAGCTGCCAGTATAAGCTCCACATACAAAAATTTGTAAACTGTATGTTCCATGACAAACATGGTGCTGGTACCAGCCTTTTGCCGACATTGTACATGTGGAATGACACCCGCATCTGCAAGACGGTTGAATTACAGCACGTACTTCAGACAGTTTTTGAATTGTTTGAGAGCTCGGCACGCACTGTTACTGATGCTAAGCGCTCTAACGGTGCTCTTAGAGCACTAAGCAATTTGCCGATGCGGATGCCTCGCGAACAGTCTCCAAGATAGGCCTTGGTTCCAGGCATCACTCGATAAAATCTTAATTTATTGCTTGTATATATCATAGGCACCCGGTTGCTGAGAAGACGTTATTCCAAAAATCTTTTCCGTCAATCATCCCCGAGGCAAAATCGGCAATTGGACGTGTACTGACGAGGCGAAGTTGCGAGAACAAATCATATGTATCCGGTACATCAAAACTTAAGGTCTAGCTCGACCTGTGACATAACGAGGTCACTTGATGTCTACAAATGTTGTAACTCAAGGGAAGAACTCACCTTGGCGATTAATTCTTCAATTTTGTCGATAAGGAGTACGCCGAAGTCACGCATGCCTCCGGGTACCGCTACAGAACAGTGACGGCAGTCGCCCTGTCGGACTGTCTGTATAGCCTTCTCGATATTTCGGTGGACAGTCTCCACGCAGGGCTTGTCCTGCATGTTCAGAAACGTGGAGTCCATGAACGCTTCCAATCATTGGGCAGCTGTAAGCGTACCGCTCACCACTAACACGCCACTCACGCTGCCGACGCTGCTGCTAGCACGTCACACTATCACATCTCCTATCGCGCTCTCGTCTGGGCATGCGGATCCCTCTTGCTGTGTTGCGTTGTTTGGACACTGGGGGTATATATATACTGGTGCTGTCTGCGTCGTGGAGGGATCATATCTCTTTCTTCCCTTTCTCTCTCTCTGTCCATCATCTACGCTTGATTACTCAAATCCACACGCCTGTCCACGTTCTGTCGTTGTTGTGATCTGTTTGAGTGTGCTCACCCCTCCGTGGTGAGTTCCAGCAGCTTCGGCTCCAGGAAACAAAGGACGCGTAGGAGGAGGGATCTTGCGAGTCTGACATGCTATAATGCCACAAGTCAGTTGCGTCAGATCCGCCCGAATGATGAGCGGATGAACACAAGCCCAGGCGACGGTGGGAAACCTCGACGTCTCATCTCCATCCACAAGCCCCCTGCCTTTATAGCAATACGAGACTGTGCGTTTGGCCATCTTTGTTGGTATCGCCCGCGTGACTGAGATCATGCTATCATACCTCCCGCATCTTTGAGTTTCCGTTTCCGAAGCTGTACGCACAAAAACGTAGAGGAACATCCCAGTGCAGTTGGAGTTTACGGAACCAGTAATGCGGTTCATCGATTTCTATGAATCAAATTCTGCGGCCATCCAACCATAAAAGACAACGAGGCATTGGAAGATTCCGCCGCAGAACGTCAAGGATAGAGCAAAATGCACGCTTCGTGATTATATCTGGTCCAAATCGACCGAGGTGAAATTAACACGTTGGAATCAACCACCACGGCCACCAAACAGAGAATATGACTCGTCTGTTTTCCTCCAGCATCTCGGTTTTGTCACAGGCAGGTCGGAGTCAAGATGGTTTATCGATGGACGAGGATCTACCGTTGAGCTCCAGAGGGTACAGGTAAGAAAGTTCGAGCAATCCGACGAATGTAAACCGGTAAGTGCCGCCCTGCCGTTGACACATACGCTATCAGAGCTTAGGAAGTAAATTCTTCCATTGCAAATAATTACGCCATGCGCTCGCGCAGACAAAAGAAGGTAATAGAACAGCAACATCTCTGACCCTGATGAGACGAGAAAAGATGAACTCACCGGACGGACAATCATGATATAGAAGACATGTGTGCAGGAACGAACAAAACCAAGTCCTGCAAGTGACGGGACACATGGACAGCATACTACTCGTGTGTCAGTTGAAAATGTCACTGAACACCCAACGCGCCAAGACGAGTCCACATTAGACATTTTTTATGTGGCGCAGCAATATTGAAAACCACTCGGTGGGGTACCCGTTCGCCACGTGGGCCATGGTCGTCACAAGTTTCCGAGCCTCCTTAAAGGTGTTTCCGCTCGTGCGTATATTCGAGTCGGAATGATGGTGGGGAAAACGCATCAGTGGAAGCAAGAGAAATGTGCACCCCCCCTGCAAGGGGGTTGAATATTTACCAGCTTACCCACGCGTTTTCCAGCAGAGTGCTCCCATCCGCCATCTCGTATATGGAGCTTCAACGACTAGGGGGCGATTGGGATACCCCGTTTCAATCGGCTTAACGAAGGATATGAGAAAAAATGATCACTCTTCGACATTTCCTGAAGTCCTACGGAATCGGACGTCTCGACTATCACTGACAGTATATCTTGAAATCTGACTGTCAACGCGCGCGCAGTCCGTCGGGCCTGCTACAGATAGTACAGAAGCCAGGTTGCCCAAGACGCTGTTAACCTTGTTGGATGCCTCACGAACCGTCATCAGCGCCGCCTAATCCTCGTGAAGAGATGTACCTTCCAAGTACTACTTAATCTCGTATTATGAGGTGCAGGTCATAATCAGTCCCACAGGCTGGCTTCCGAGAGCAGGGAGGCATCTGGTGGGATCAGGAAGAGTGGAAGTACGCCAAGTCTTGGTGGTAAACTGCAGTGAGTCATTTTGGCCGTGAGAGCTTGCCCTCTGTACTTAGGGTCAACAATGAGGAAGGGTACTGACTACGCAGAACTCAGATCTTGACCCCCACATCGTCCAACCGGCCGACCCCCTCAATTTGGATGACCTTCAAGACCTCATGTTTCATCGCATCTCGCTGTCGCCGCAGTCCCAGGTTTGGTTATTCGGCGTCTTGTCTCCTCAGATTGATGCCATCTAGTCCCTCGCGGGGGAACTTATCCCTGTTCTTTGAGCTACCCTACGCCAGCAACCCCAGCGAGCATGGTTCATGCATAGGCACAAGTGATGCATGACGATTTGGCGACGTTCAGCTTACCCTAAAACAAGGTGGTGGGAATGAAGTTGTCAATGCTGGCGATGATGGGCTTTTTTAAGCCCTCTAGGAAGAAGGATGCGCAGTGTTTTGTGCACTGAGCGACTTTTTTCATTACCCTTGTCACCTTTTCGTGATTGTCATTTTGTTGCGTCGGCCTGTCCTGGGGCTTCGGGTCTTCCTTCTCTTTTTTTCCGCCGCAAGAATCGTGCATCATGATATTTTAACGACCACGTTCCAAATCACTACCAATCTGCTGTTTGATCCGAGATTCTATCATAGGCATCGCACTGTATCTGTGTAAGCGTTCGCTTACCTTACCACTTACCGCTTGCCACTCACGCACCGTACGCACCGTTCACGGCTATCGCTTCACGTCGTCACATCTCCTATTCCCTCGATCGTGCCCTCGTCTGGGCATGCGGATCCCTCCTGCTGTGTTGTACTGTTTGGACCCTGGGGGTATATATACTGGTGCTGCATGTATGCGCAGGTCGTCTCTTCTTTTTCTCTCTTTCTTCTCACTTGCTCTGTTGAGCATCTTGTATCAGCATATACGCTTGATTGTCTAATCCCCACACGCCTGTCCACGTTCTATCGTCGTCGTGAGCCGTTCTGAGTGTACTCACCCCGCAGCGGTGAGTTCCAATCTGTAGCTTTGACATAATGCCTACTCGCTAGAGTTGCAATCACCACTTCTTAATTTACACATCCTGATGCAATGTCTGCTAGAGTGCTCGAAACTTCCGCGACTACGGTGCGCGAATCTTGATATCAATCATAGTCTCATCTCGAGTTAATCCTCACTCCAGTGCGAGGATAGTTGATTCATTCGATGTCACCAACAGGAAGGCTGGAAAAGCTATGCTACGCCTCTGCGACGTGCACTGTACATATCTCGAGGCACGTCGAGGTAGGGGTGGAAACAAGGCTGTTGGTTACTTTGTACCCCGACACAGCAGGCAAAGGCCCGGTGGTATCCCTTCTACACCAAGCCCAAAACTCACCACCGGCGAAAAATTGTAGTGATGAACAAGTCAGTTGTGCGTCCGTTCCTGGCGCGAAACTTTGGACGAGACGACAGCATTATCAAATGTAGATTTCCACACGAGACTGACAAAAAAGTCTTCTTATTTCGAGTCCGTTCCAAGTCCAGTGTGAACATTGCTCAAATTGATTCTTGCAAATTCACAGGTAGACTGGCAAAACTATCCTACATTTCTCAGTTCTACAACATACATCGTGAAGCGCGTCAAGGTACAAGGCGGAAACAGTTACTTTGTGCCCCGATCACTATATAATCAGGCAAATTTGCAAAAACGGGTGGAGTATATCCCGGACGTCAAAACTTCAGGTCTAGCTCGACCTGCAATATAACCAGGTCACTAGATGTCTTCAAGTGTTACAGGGAGGGAAACTCACCTTGGCGATTAACTCTTCGGCTTTGTTAGTAAAGAGACTTGCGAATTCTCGCAAGCCTGCCGGCGCCGTGGAAGAACAACTACTGCAGTTGCGTTGTCGAACTGTCTGTATAGCCTTGTCGACATTTTGTCGGATAGTTTCCGCGCAGGGCTTGTCCCGCATATCCAGAAAAGTGGAGTCCATGAACATTTCCCACCACTGCGCAACTTGGTATCCGTGAAACTTAGGGTACCTTCCGGACATTGGCTGGGTGCAACAATTGTAACCATCGGGGTTCATGGCGATCATCCATGGCGCAGCAGACCACTGAGGGTATTCGACTGTGATCCAAGACAGGTCATTCTTCAGCACCAGTACAGCGGCAGCGCATTTGCGGTGATATGTTAGCAGCGCAAGGAGTTCAGTGGAAGTAATCAATTCAATCTCCTCGAACCACACTGGAACCAGAGGTTCCCGAAGGGTGTATCTGGCGGCGAGTACAGATTCATCCTGCAGGCGAGCGCGGCACGCGACAGCGAAGCAACGCAGCGAGTTCTCCTCCAATATCTTCGGGTTGAACAGAGATTTGCATACCGTCTGCTCGATTGCGTCGAGGGAATACTTTTTGGCCGCCTCGAGCACGTTTACGACGTCTCTGAAATCCTCAAGGACAGGATCCTCTGCCAGAGTGCAGGGATAGCAGAAGCGGAGTAGTGGGTCCAGCGTCTTGCTGTCTTCTGAGACAGGGATGACAGGTAGTCCGTCCTTCATCTCCACATCTGTACACATCTCCTCTGACGGTTGAGGGAGATCAAAGAGGGTCTCGAAGAACGGTGATGCGAGAGAGAGGAACAACTTGAATACGCGAAAGTCAACGTCGTCAGATGAACGTAAAATCACATCTGCCCTCGCATGGTCGAAGGGCGAAGGTGCGCAGGAAGGCTCGGAAGAGGCAGACATATATGATGCTAGCAGCTAGATTGGTTCGTCGGGTCAGGGACATACGGACAGACAGTCTTTAAGACATTTACAGACCTGACGTGTAGTGGGGAATGTCTGGGTTTGGACGGTGCTCTCGTCGACGGACGGCCTTTTGTAGGTCAGTTAGGCTGCACGCTGTACTGCGCGAGGTCGACGCAGATTGGTGATAGCACAGTCATCCCCTTCTCCCAATCGTTTCGGCCTCCCTCTTACAATGTTGCAAAACACGCTTCGGCACGCAGTCAAACGTTTTTACTTCCCAAGGCTATGTCGATAGATGGCATCAGAATCAATAAGCATTCAGATGAGAAAGATATGGAAACAACTGAATATTATGACGTACAGGACCCTGCACCTTGCCTACATGATGGAATCGAGATTTCAAAAGGATGTCTTTACCATCAATGAACAGGGACGGCCGTGGGTCATAGGGTTCGTTATCGACTTCCATCTCACCTTGTTTTGTAAAATAGTTGCAATCCTTCGTATCCATACGCTGGAATAGGGAGCCTATCGATAAACAAGGTGATGAACGTTGTACTAGATTACGACCATTTGGATCGCGACCTGGACTGTCTTCAGACATCTTGCATACCCTTTACCTGCGGCATTCCTCAGTGATTGGACAAGCACCGCACATATGTTACGTACCTTATTGGCTGTGATGGATTCGAGAATGTAGTGTCATGCTAAGGGCGGATAACCAGGGCATAAGAGATAAAATGTCATGCGCTCCAACAATAGTGCAGTCAAATTGTCGTCACAAGAAGTATCATCAAACCTGTGAGCAGGGAATGGCGATAACACTATTGCTCACGAGTTGTTTTGAAGGCAGGTGAGGGTCCCTGGGCTGACGCTCAACGCGAGTTTTGGGCAGCTAAGTCAGTAGACAAGTCCTCCAGCTTCGCCCGTGGTCGAATCTACTCCCCAAGATACGGCATGTACGTCGAGAAATATCCCAGTGGCAGATTTATTGCAAGCAAGCAGACTTACAGATAGGACAACATCACTTTCGATACCCTACACACGACCGCCATGTCACGAACCTATTAACAAAGTAGACATTGTCACTTTCAGAATCTCAACTCCAGTTCAACCTGCGATACGAGAAAGTTACCTGACGCCATCAAGTATCGAAAGTGGGCAGATCTCACCTGTGAGATTGACTCTTCAACTTCGTTGATAAAGAGGGTCCCAAATTCTCGCATGCCTCCAGAAACTGCAGGAGAACAGTAACCACAATTGCGTTGCCGAGCCGTCTGTATTGCCTTTTCGACGTTTTGTCAAATGGTTTCCGCACAAAGCTTGTCGCGCAAATCCACGAAAGTGGAGTCCATGAAGGTTTCCCACCACTGAACACTCACATGCTCATTTAGCGTGGATCTTCCCGACGTCGATTTAGTACATCCACAGTGGCTACCACCAGAAGTCAATCCAACCATCCATGGGGCAGCATTCCATTGGCGATATTCGGCTGTGATCCAAGAGTAGTCCGCATTCAACGTCTGAATAGCGTCGCCGCATTTTTTATGATACGTCAACAACGAAAGCAGCTCGCTGGCGGTAATCAATTCGATCTCTTCGAACCACATCGGAACCGAAGGCTCCCGCAGGGAGTGTTTAGCGGCAAGAGCGCACTCGTTTTGCATGCGAGCGCGGCATGCGATCGAGAAGCAGCGCAACGAGTTTGCCTCCAATATCTTCGGGTTAAACAGAGATTTGCATACTGTATTCTCGATTGCATCGAGGGAATACTTCTTGGCCGCCTCGAGTACGTTCACGATGTCTCTGAAATCCTCGATGGCAGGATCCTCTGACAGAGTGCAGGGGTAACAAAAGTGGAGGAGTCCATCCAGGGTCTTTCTGTCTTCTGAGACAGGGATGATGGGTAATCCGTCCTTGAACTCCGCATCCGTGCTCATCTCCTCTGACGGCTGGGGAAGATCAAAGAGGGTCTCAGAGAATGGCGATGCGAGAGAGAGGAACAGCTTGAATACGCGGAAGTCAACGTCGTCAGATGACCGTAAAATGACGTCCGCCTTCACATGGTCAAAGGGGTGCGGCGCGCAGGAAGGTTCAATAGAAGCGGACATGCTGGATGGTAGCGGCTAGAGTATTTCGTCGTGTCAGAGATGTATGGGTGGATGGAAGTATATACAGACCTGAAATGTACGGAAGCTCTGCGTTTCAACTGTACTTCTGTCGATGCCCAGCCTTTTGTAGGCCAGTTAGGCTGCCTGCGTGTACTAAATGAGGTCAATGTAGATTGGCAATAAGTCACAGGCATCCCCTTCCCCCAATCCCCTTCCCCCAATCTTTTCGGCTGTCCTTGTATCACGTTCCACAACGTGCTTCAACACGCAGTCAGACAATTTGACCTCCCAAGGCTTATCGATAGAGAGAACCAGAGTCAACGACGATTCACATGACGAAGATACGCAGATAAGTATATACTATGACGTACCTTGATGTGCCGGACGTTGCACCTTGCATACATCATGGAATGGGATTTGAAAAGGATGTCTTTGCCTCCGCTGAACAAGGATCTCCGTGGGTCACAGGGTTTGTGATCGACTTCCATTGCGTCTTGTTTGTAAAATCGTTACCACCCTTTGTGTCATCAAGGTTGGAATGCAGGGTTTATCAATAAACGAGGTGATGAAAGAAGACTCAACGCTACACTGGGAAAGGGGGAAATCTAGTTGTTCCGGTGGCGGCCTGGGCTGTCCTCAGATAGCTTGCAAACCTTACACCTGTTAACGCAGGTACTCGTCAGTGATTGGATGAGTATTGCACGCATGATTGGTACATTATGGGCTGCGATATCAATGTCGTACCATGCCGAGGGTGGATGACTAGGGGAGGAAGGATGAAATGTCATGCTCCCAACCGTAATGTGGTCAAATTATCGCAGCGCTGAAGACTACGCGACCTGCGAGTAAGGACGATATACCGTTGCCCTGTGCCCCTGTGTTGTTTCTGCAAAGGTTAGGCAAGAGCCTCGACTCTCGACTGGATGGCTTCTTCTCAGTGCGGGTTTGGCCCAGCGAATCCAAGTGACGTGATAAGCTTTATAGGTTGGCTTGTAATAGTGACCTAATCTTCAAGACACGTCCATATCGAGACTAACCTGGCGGTATATCCATCCCACACGGACACTTATAACAAACACGGGGTCACATTCAACGCCTTACGCGTCCCCCCACCTTTTCAACTAGAAGGAAGTTATCATTGCCCTTTCGAAACCGCGGCTCGGGCTCAACCTGATGTGTGATAAAGTCGTCCAACTTCTACGGGCGTCGCCAACGGAGACGGAACTCATCTTTGAAACCGATTCTTCCACTTTCGTTATGAAGAGTGTCCCGATTTCTCGTATACCTCCAGGCGAAGAACAATGAACGCAATTGCGCTGTCGAACTGTCTGTATTGCTTTCTTCACATTTCTTCGGATAGTCTCGGCGCAGGGCTTGTCCCTCAAGCCCAGAAAGGTGGCGTCCATGAAGGCTTCCCACAACGGGACAGCTGCATTTCCATTAAGTGTTGGGTGCCTTCTGGACGTTGCCCGCTGGCCACCAGCAATACGGTTCATCGATCTCTACAAACAGAATTTTGGGATCGTCCAATCAAGGAATACAAGCAAGTGTTGGAAGACTTCGCGGCGCAACGTCAAGGCTGTCGCCGATTGCACACTCCCCAATTAAATCTAACACAAATCCATCGAGATGAAATTAAAGCGTCAAACGTGGCAAGGGACCCACCACAGCCACCAAGCCGGCACCCCTTTTTGCCTCTAGCATACCGGCTTTGTGACAACTTTTTCATTCGAGGCGGGACGGAGCCGTTTATCGATGGACGAAGATCCAGGGTCGAGCTCGAGAGGGTAAAGGTCAGAAATTTCAAGCAATCCAACGAACGTAGACCTGTAAATGCTGCTCTGCCGATGACACACTGTAAGGGCTCACGGAGTAAATTCTGCCGTTGCAGATAATTACGCCATGCGCGTGTGGTGAAAAAATGGAGCAACACATCAACATGCGGATGAGACGAGAAAGGACGGACTCACCAGAACGATGATCACAACATGGAAGACACACGCGAAAGAATGAACACCATCAGAATCTGCGAGAGAAACAGAGATGAACAGTACACTATTGCTGTCGCGTAGGTCGGGAGTGTATTACATAGCATTGAATATTCAATGCGCTGGGATAAGTCACACACTGCACTTTAGATGTGGGTCAGCAGTGCTTCGTCTTCAATGAAGGCCACTGAAAGAATCTGCTCGGCCTGATAGGAGGAAGAGGCTCGATCGCCAGCAAGGGAAGTTGGCACCTGCCGCAGGGGAGTCGAAAACTTGCCAGTAATGATCCACTCCAGACGCCACATTCTTTAACATTTACTGAGGTCAAGTTAGCCATGTCTGTTCTCGCGCTTCCCTTGCGACCCCGAACCGCCAAGTATCTTCGCAACGCAGACTACCGCGTCACGTTCCCTCCGCCCCCGGCGTCCGCGAACGCAGGAATGATCAAGTATGATAGAGACTCGCAGACATTCTACCCTACTCCCTAAAATCAATTCCACCCAGGTGAAACACAAACATTTTACAAAGGATTTTTTCTTGCTTGTTCGAATTTCCTATCCCTGCTCGACCAGCCACTGTAGCGATGTGGCTGAGGTGCAAGCTCAAGGGATGCGTACGTGGTGACTCGCGTTCTCAATATCCCCCGTGCGTTGCGAGCCTGTCCAACGCGATAGGAAAGAAGTCGTTGATGCTGTCCACAGCCACCGGGCCTGTTCAAGCCCTCCAGGAAGCAGCACATGCAGTACCTTACGCGCTGAGCGACTCCCTTTCCAAGGAGACTAGTATGTCAATCTTGACATCAACCTAACAGGTCCGCACGTGAGACTAAAAAATGTACATTATCCCATCCCTGCCCAGTTTAGTGCCAACGGGGCAGACTCGTTTGCATTTACAAGCAGACGGGAAAAACTACCCTACATGCCATGCGACACTAAGGTAATGGCGAGAAGCGTCGAGCACTAGGCTACTCTGGAGTCTGGATTACTTTGGAGCCCGATCACTGATCAGGTGCTTGTAAAAACAAATCGAATGTATCAAAACTTCAGGTCTGGCTTGACCTGCGACATAACGAGGTTACTTGATGGTTTCCAAGCATCGCACCTTGTGAAAAGAACCTACCTTGGCGATTAACTCTTCGACTTTCCTAGTAACAGAGCGGCATATTCTTGCAAGCCAGAACAACTACGACAGTCGCGTTGTCGAGGTGTCTGTACATTCTTTTTGCTCTGTTATCGGATAGCCTCCGCGCAGTGCTTGTCCTGTAGTTCCAGAAAGGTGGATTCCATGAAAACCTCCCACCATTGCGAAACTGCCTCTCCATGAAATACATGGTGCGCTCCCAACGTTGTCCGAGCGCAAACGCAATTCGAACAACCGACACTGGTAGAAGACTTGCCGATCATCCTCGGGGCAACGCTCCACTGAACGTATTCAGATGTGGCCTAAGAGAAGCCGTCCTTTAAACCTGAACAGCATTCGCGCAATTGCAACGGTATGTCAAAGTGCAAAGAGTTCGGTAGCAGTAATCAACTCGATCTCTCCGAACCACATCGGAATCATAGGCTCTTGAAGCTTGAAGAGTGTGTTTGGCAGCAAGAACACACTCTTCCCGTATGCGAACGCGGTACGCAATTGCGAAGCAACGAGGTGAATTTGTCTCTAATAATTTCGGGCTGAACAAAGATCTGTGCGCTGTCCTCTCGATTACGTTGAGGGAATACTTTTTCTCCACCCCGAGTACGCTCTCAAGGGCAGGATCCTCGAGGGTAGTAGAAGCGGAGGAGTGGATCCAGGGTCTTGTTGTCCTCCGAGACAGGGATGACGGGTAGTACGTCCTTCATCACCACAACCATGCTCATCTCCTCTGACGTCTGGGGGAGATCAGAGAACGGCGATGCGAGAGAGGAAGCTTGAATATGCAAAAGTCAACGTTGTCAGATGACCGTAAAATCACGATCCGCCTTCGGACGGTCGAAGGGCGGCGGCGCGCAAGAAGGTTCAGTAGAGACGGGCATTTATGATGCTAGCCGCCAGAGTGTTTCGTCGTGTCAGAGACATAGGTATGCTGAAGCTCTGTTTCAACTGTGAGACGTCCGGCCTTTTATAGGCCAGTTCTGCTCCCGCGAGAAGCTTCTAAAGAAGACTAATATAGTATGCAAATCTTGATGTCAAAGCGTAGGCCCACATGTGCATAGGTGAGGCTCCAGGTAAAGTTACTTTCATCTTTCTCGCGAATGTAGCACGAACACGGTTACTGTAATTCATCCAATTTCATTGATGACCAGTCTGGCAAAAGCCGTCCTACACCTCTGGAACACGTACTTACATAGCGCAGAACACGTCATACAACACTTGAAGGTAACGGTGAGAACACTGCTACTGTTTACTTTGTGTCCCGATCACTGATCAGGCATTTGCAAAAAAAAGAACGGAGGTTGCCTTGGGTGTCAGAACTTCAGGTCCAACTCGACCTGCGACAAAACGAAGTTGGTCGATGTCTCCAAGCATTGCATCTCAGGGAAAGAACCCACCGTGGCGATTAGCTCTTCAACTTTGTTGCTAAAGAAAGTCGCGAAAGCTAACATGGCTCCCGGTACCACAGGAGAACAGTAACCGCAACCGCGTTGCCGAACGGTCTGTATGGCCTTTTCGGCGTGTTGTCGGATGGTTTCCGCGCACGGCTTGTCGCGCAAATCCAAAAAAGCGGAGTCCATGAAGACCTCCCACCACTGAGCACTCGTAAATCCACTTAACATGACTCTTTGCGACGTTGACCGAGCGCATCCACAGTAGCTGCCACTGGAATTCAGGGCGACCATCCATGGAGCGGCATTCCAATTAGGGTATTCGGCTGCGATCCAAGAGTATTCGTCCTTCAATTCCTGAATGGCCTCGCCGCATTTTTTATGATACGCCAACAATGAAAGCAGCTCGCTGGAGGTAATCAACTCGATCTCCTCGAACCACATCGGAACCAAGGGCTCTCGAAGGGTGTATTTGGCAGCAAGAACACATTCATCCTGCATGCGAGCGCGGCACGCAATCGCGAAGCAACGCAGTGAGTTCGCCTCCAATATCTTGGGGTTGAACAGAGATTTGCATACTGTCCTCTCGATTGCGTCGAGGGAATACTTTTTTGCCGCCTCCAGTACGTTTATGACGTCTCTAAAATCCTCGATGGCAGGATCCTCTGACAAAGTGCAGGGGTAGCAGAAGCGGAGGAGTGGATCCAGCGCCTTGCTGTCTTCTGAGACAGGGACGATGGGTAGTCCATCCTTGAACTCCACATCCGTGATCATCTCCTCTGATGGCTGGGGAAGATCAAATAGGGTCTCGAAGAACGGCGATGCCAGAGTGAGGAATAGCTTGAATATGCGGAATTCAACGTCGTCAGAAGACCGTAAAATAACGTCCGCCTTCACATGGTCGAAGGGCGACGCTGCGTATGACGGTTCGGAAGAGGCAGACATGCTGGATGATAGATACTAGAGCATCTCGTCGTGTCAGGGACGCATGGACAGATAGGAACATATACAGACCTGCAATGTAGTGGGCAAGCTCTGCGTTTCAACTATGCTTCCGTCGATACCTGGCCTTTTGTAGGCCAGTTAGGCTGCACGTGCGTATTCCCCGAGGTCAATGTAGATTGGCGATAAGTCACCAGGCATCCCCTTCTCCAATGCTTTCGGCCGCCTGCGTACAATATTACAATGCGTGGGTCGAGATTCAATCGGAATGTCCACTGCCCAGCGAGTACGTCAGCGGCAGAAATCAGAGTCAAAGACCATTTCCGTCGTGAAGATACGAAGATAACTGAGCACCAGGGCTCCGGACAGCGCACCATGTTTTCATCGTGGAGTTGAATTTCACAAAGAGGGGATCGCATGGTTCGTTATCGACCTCAATTATTCCCTGTTTTGTAATACCTCTGCAGCCATTTGTGTCCGCAACGCTGGGATGTAGAATTTATCAATAAACGAGGTGATGGAAGAAGCCCCGATGCTGTACTGGGAAAGGGGAAATTCGGATATTCGGCAAATGCAGATATCCTGCATACCCTCCACCTGCCAATGTGAGCATTTGTCAACGATTGGATGGATATTGCACATGTGTTTCGTACCTTGCTGGTCTTTGTACGTCTGATGATCTGGGGATGTCAAACTACATCGAGGCTGGGTAATCATGGCAGAGGGGATGAAACATGATGGTCCCAAATAACAGCGCAGTCAAATTGTTGTCGGAGAAAGCCTATGCAACCTACGAGCAAGGAAAGATGAAGAACTATCGCCCCGTTTTTTGGTGGAAGCCTCCACCGGCTGACACTCGACGCAGGTTTCGGGCAAGGATTGCAACAGACGGGATGAGCCTTCCAGGCCTGCTTGTGATTGAACATAGTCTCCCCTGAGTCGAAGGAAGACAATTGTTCCTTCCCGACCAGATTGGACACCACTCTCCAAATTACGCCATCCATCTCGAGAGTACTCTGGTGAAATGCGGATTCGCGTTCAACGCTTTACACATCCCCAGACCAACCTGACATTTAACAAATTAAAATCAGCCAACTTCTACAAACGTCAAGGACCCACCCTCGAGATTAACTCTTCCACTTTGTTACAAAACGGAAGTGCTGATCTCGAAGGTTGATATCGAGTGTCCCGATCGGTGAACGCAGTTGCATTGTCGAAACTATCCGTATAGTTTTTTCGACATTTTGTCGGTTTTTTTGTCACGCAGGGCTTGTCCACGATGCCAGAATTGTGGGATCCAAATATCGTCTCCATGAAGCCCTCTCACCGTTGGGCGGCGTCGTTTGCAACTATATCAAAATTAAACATTGGATACCTTCCGGACGTTCACCGAGTGCAACACCACTTGACCGTAAAGTGGCCATCAACAATGTTCCGTAGAAGGCGTTCAGTTTTGGTCCAAGTGGTCGTCCTTTAACGCCCGAACCACAGTAGGACATTTTCGGTGGTGTGTCCATAGTGCAAGGAGTTTAGCGGAAGTAATCGATTCAATCGCTTCGAACCACGCGGGAGACAGAGGCCCCCGAAGTACATATCTGGCTGCGAAAACCCATTCGTCATGGTCATGCGTGCGAGCGCGGCACTAACATGTATTAGCCCGCCGTTGATCTTCATATCCGTGATTACCTCTTCCGACATAGTTCGGGTCCGTGAAGATCAAATAAGGCCTTAAAAACTGTAAAGCGAGGAGGAGGAAAAACTCGACGACGTAGAATTCAACGTTGTCAGCAATCGGCGGACGGTATCGACTTTCACGTCTTGAAGCTCGACTCCTTTGCGATCATCTGACTGCCAGACGATCACAACATGCAGCTATTTACAATTGTATCTAATCTGTATTATGAATCCCATTCAGGTTACTGATTCCAGTTAGAGCGAACTAGGTTCACATCGACCAGTTAGCCTTACTGCTTACCACATCTACGAATTTTACATATATCTTTTGGATCACTTGTGGCTTGGATGCATAATTTCCATAGACGAGAGTGCTTCTTTTATAGACCTATTCTGAATGTTGCAACCAACATAGGCCTGGGCAATGGTATGAAAACTTCACGTCTCACGTTCATCCATCAGCGAGAAATGAAGCTGTGTGTGTTTCTTGGTATCAGCTAACCCATTCCGGTATCCGTCATCTCCCATTATACAGGACACAAAGCTCCAAGGGCTCTGGATTTGCCATGCCAATCAGCTGACCGGAGGGTATGAAAAAAGGCAGTCCAGGTCATTCATCAGTAAATCACTTTGAGCTGTGGAGCTCTCCACAGTGCTCCATAATACACAGAGTCCCCTAGCTAGGTCCAGGCTGGACAGATGCACCCAACAACACTTTTTGCTATGGCTAGTTGCCTGTTACTATGGAATGGTCACATTGTCATGGAACTTTGTCCAGTATCTTACTTACTATGGATTGCTATGGAACTTTCATGCTTAGATATCACTGTACAAAACTGGCCAGACTGTATTCTCCTTGGGGTGTTGTCCAGTACTCCCCATCTCAATGTTTACTTTGCAAACATGTGATCACTCCACAACTAGGAACAGTTCACAGCAAGTATGACAGGAACAGGAGCATTGGCATCAATTGCATACTATGTGTGATGACAGGTATGACAGGACTAGGTATTATGAAATCAATCAAGGACTGCCTGAATGTGCTGGTACCTCTCTACATTTGAATCAACCTCTTGCAGTGCAGTCCTGATACAAGGAGTCAGTGTGAGCATGTCAGCTGCCCCAGTACTTACCATCCTTCCTTTGCCCACTGAGAAAGCTGATCGCACAACCTCACACTGTGATAGGGATTACAAAGGATGTCATTCAGCACCTTCATCATGCCATGGAAAATGGAATTGTAAGCCTTGCTGGAGAATTGAGGCATTGTCTTTCCTGTGCTGTTCTTTGCAAATCTGTCCAACATTTTGAAGGATGCTGTAGGTATCCTCAGTAGTGCAACAAGCTACTGATGTATTAGACCAACCTGTAGGTATCTACAGGATATCAGTAAGTATAATACTGGTAGTGAACATGAGCTTACCCTCAGTAGTGCAACAAGCTACTGAGGGAACAGTGAATAAACTATTGTAAAATGTGCGCTCTAAGGTGATTATGTAAGCACCCAAACATCGCACCAAAGTGAGCAGAACACAGGGGAGAATATATCTCCAACACCAACCTATCTCCCACCTCCTCTAACTCCCACATAAAAATGGAAATCTGCACTGTTGGATGAAGAACCTTCTAATGAGAAGGAACACACTTACCAGGATGCTTTGTCAGCAGCTTATGCCTGTGAGGCAAAGTACAAGAGTGCACTCATTGGATCCCAGGCAACACTTGTCTTACAGTCAATGTATGTTGACCAGGTAACAAAAGAGCTGGAAAATAATGAGGAGAAGTGAAAGAAGAAAAAGAAAGGTCAGCTTAATGGGGATGGCCTTCCAAAGTTACTTACTGGTGATGAGTTTTACAACTGGGTTGTGGACCACCATAAGTCCATTGCAGAGCAGGATGCTGCTTGCAAAGCATGGCAAAAACAAAGGGATGAATGAAATGAATTGTTGGTGGCATGGAGAGAAGAAGAAGCAGTTTGCCAAGAGTGTAACAAGGCCCTTTGGAAGACATATCATGAAGAGTTGCAGCTCTGGGAGCTTGAGAGAGATCAGGCAAAAGCAGAAAATCACCAACCTCATTGGGCAAAACCAAAGTGCAGGAAGCTCAAGCAGCCAGCTCCAAAGCCCATCCTTGGTAGTGCAGACACAGAGGAGGTGGGTGAAAATGACAATGATGGTGAAAATGAGGAGGATGCACAGTCGGATGATGATTGATAATATTCTGATAACTGCTGATGCCCACTATACCATATTTGGGGTGTCTCAAATCATGGTGTGACCACTGATAAGCAATTTAATTTCTGAGGCTTCACCACTGCATAACTACAGTTACGATCCTAAAGAAACCTTTATCCAGACATTCTCTACTATTTTAATAGCCCTGTCATCCATTCTGATCTACTTATAATTGTGTTGTGTTGTAAAATGGGCATTTTTAATATTGGTGTCTCAAATCTAGGTTGATGACTGTACTTCTGGGGACAGACCATGTATCTTATCAAGAAGGCAAAATTGCTCGACATCTTTCAAAGCCACCTGGATTCAATCAACCACAATGCACTCAATGCACCAAGTTTGAATCTGGAATATATTTGTCACTACAAAGGTGGACTGATCAGGAAGCATTTCAAGAGCTTAGTGCAAGTAATGCCATTCATCATCCATGACTTGATACCACAGACTGATGGATGGATGGACAACTCTTGGAGAATTAGTCATGCTCCATTGGCACACAAAGATTGATCACATTGAAGTTTACCTGGTTAGTATTCCTCACACACTGAATGACATACTCATTGATTTGTTGAAATCAATAGGCATGGCTCACTTGGATGATAGAAGACTTCCTCAATGTCACAGTAATCTGCACTCCCAGTATCCTCATAATGAAGCCAAAGTTTTATTTTCTCATTCACCTCCCTGCATGCATCCACTGTTTTGGACCAGCAATCATTTTCTCCACTGAGCATTATGAATCATTCAACCATGTCTTCAGGCTCTCATGTATATACAGCAGCTGGCAGGGCCCAAGTCAAGATACATGTCATAGATTCATGCAGCTTGACCTTGTCAAGCATATCATCACCAGTGGATACTTGTCATAACCATGTGTTCACTCTAAGTCCTTACTCACTCTGCACCCTCTTCCACTGGTCATTTACTCACTCCACACCAACTCTGCCCAACTTCTGTCAGTTACAAACCATCTCCACTCTGATGGCTGTCAGACTTGTGTTGCTCTCCTACCAGACTGAATGGACCATTCTCTGAGGGGTCATGTGACTACCTTCAGGCTCCTCCCTGACAGCACACAGTCAGGTACTCTGCAGTGCATGCACTGCATGGTCCAATGCCTGGACTGTTTCCTTTTCTGAATGTTCTATGTTACCCATTCATATGTCCTCCATCTACCCTTCATTTGTTGTCTAGGAAGTTTTACTTGAAAATTTCTGGGTCTCCATATGTCAGTTCTGATTCCAGTTACTGTACCTCCATAGTAGTATAAAAAAGCATGTATCATACTCCACTGTTCCTCAGTACTGTCATAACTGTGCCTCAACCCCAGCCGGACTTGGCCTCATGTTCATTCAGTTTGGCCTCAGCCTCACCAACCCCATGTCTCCAGTTAGTCTAGCATGGTGAACACTGCTTTGCAGTGCATGTCACTTTGTTAAGTTCTGCCTG